ATTTGTTATTTTATTTTGTGTTAACATATAATCTAATATATCTTTTATTTTAAATTATTGTATTAATGAATAAATATCAAAATTGAAACAGCAACATCTGATACATCTTCTACTTTCTGTACTATAACTTTACCAAGTTCAGTTACTGCATCTCCACATAACTTTTTTAGTTTATTTTTTAATTCACTTATTTCTATTTTCAATTTATCTAATAAATCTTGATTGTTATCATGTTTTAAACTCTCTGCTATTTCTTTAATCCTTTCTTTTGTGAATTCAATGTATGAATATTTATTTGTAAGAATCTGTGCTTCTGTATTTAATCTTTTTATAATCTTTTTATAAAATTCACTAACATTTGAATCAATAAATAATGAAGTATATTTTATGTTAAGTTAATGTAATTCCAAGAATAGTTTCTGTATTTGTTAAATATAAATGTTTGTATTTAATTACAAATTGATTAAGCATTTTCCTATGAATTGTCATTAATTTAAGTTCTTCAAATGATTTATCACTTAAAAGTTCTTCTTGTCTTGTAAGATAATAATTCACTCTATTAATAACAAAACAAAATTGTAATCTTTTCCATTCGTTTAATGTTGGTTGAATCTCTCACTCAGCTTCATACAATATATCAATTAATGTTTTGAATTTATAATATAAACTTTTATATGAAGATATTAATTCATAAAGTTTTAATTCTATGATTTGATACAAACTAGTATAACAATCTGTAATATAACCACTATTCATATTAAATTCTTTTCAATATAAATACCACATATTTTACCTGTTTTTATTTCATTTCCATATTTTTCAATTAATTCTTTTGTTTTATATACATGATATGTCAACTGATGTATTCTGTTATCATCTTCTGATGATTTTGAAGATAATTTTGTTACTAAAATATTACACCAACAACTACATCCATGATACACTTCATAAAATGGAATTAAACAAATAGCAAAAGTTCTTAAAAGTCCATGTGGTTCTTCCTTTTCTGCAATTTGTTTTAAATTACTTTTAAGGATATCAGAAATAATAAACCAATGTTCTGATAGTTCATTTTCTAATCATTGATTTAAAATATTATGTATTTCAATGAAATGATTATTGAAAAAAAACAAGGTATTCTTTCCTATCTTGTTGAAAGTGTACATCAGGTTCAACAACTATCTCGTTTTGTTCTTCTTGATGGTTTGAAATTTTATACCTATTTATGAAATTGAAATATATTTTGTGGATAATGTTCTTTAAGACATGCCATTTCTGCTCTTCT